CCTTATTTTCTAAAATACAGGACGAATCTTATTGTTGCGAGCCGGTGTGGACTCGACCTAACCTCACAATATGACCCGCCCTCGGATGACCTTAAAACCGACGAAAAACGTAACAATATCTTGGTTACCATAAATTATCAAAAACAATTCACAAAAATAAAAAAAAATTGAATTTGATGTCAACATGACTCCTACTTGCAGAGGGCACCACCAACATATTTTTAACTGGTTTGAAGACTAATAATCTTTTGTCCGTACCTGTATAAAACCACTGAGTAAAAAAATATACATTTACGTAAAAAAGATCTCTTGGTAAAAATCGCTACGAGCAACCGTTCTTAAGATATTTAGAATGAAAATAGTCAATATTATATATTATACCGGGTGCGTCTCAAAAGTGGCTCACCCCTATAACTTGTTTTATTTATTCAAATAAAAAAACGAGATTGGGTATGTTAGTATATGACATAAATTAGGATTGATTGACGTATTCAATTATTTTCGGTCACTTCCTGTTTCACCGGAAATGACTACCTTTTGAATTTTAAATGACACTCGAGGTATTTTCTTACTTTATTCGATAGAAAATGACACTTTGAATAGAATGACATATCATATGTCAACTTTTGATATTTTCGAATATGGTTTATTTGCGATAACGACAATTTGACTCGAAATACCAAGTGTATAGTATCAAATTATTCGTAAAAAAATGCTTTTTCCAAATATGCTAATGAGCCACCCTTGATCCCTGTGAAAAAATTGAGGTATGATTAAAAAAAACGATTTGGCCATCTTTTAACCGGCTAGGACAAGACACGTAAAACATTAGACGATCAAATCTATTTTTCCAAGGTTCCTTGATTAAAAATTAGTGTTTTTAAGACATACGACATTCTAGATTGAAATTTAAAATGCGATTTATTTTTAAACTTAAATGTCAAAAGTTGACATATGATATGTCATTCTATTCAGAATGTCATTTTCTATCGAATAAAGTAAAAATATACCGGAAGTGCCATTTAAAAATCAAAAGTTGTAGTCATTTCCGGTGAAACACGAAGTGACCGAAAACAGTTTATAACGTCAATCAATCCTAACTTATGTCATATACTAACATACCAAAATCTCGTTTATTTATCTGAAAAAATAAAAAAGTTATAGGGTTGAGCCACTTTTGAGACGCACCCGGTATATGTTATTATTGACCAAAAATAAACATGTTAAGTTTATTTGATTGAAATCATTAAATTATAAATTTGGGTACTTTTTTTTTAAATTGATCTTAAATTTTTCTTCGAAAAAATTATAATGAAACAGTTTCTGTTGAACTTTTGGAACAAAAACATATCAAATTTATGATTTCAGTCTAATAACTATTTATTCAACATGTTTAATTTATGTCAATGATATGACAGGTATTGATTATTTAGATTCCTAATATCTCGAGAACCGATTTTTACCAAGATACTTTTTTTAAATAAAAAATATATAAAAAAATGTAAATGGAGATTTTTGACACGGTAGTTTTATACAGGTACAAACGAAAAGTTATTTATTAGTCTTCAAACCAGTTAAAAAATGTAGGTGGGGCCCTCTACAAATAGGAATCATATTGACATCAAACTTAATTTTCTCATGCCAAAAAACTCCCAGACCTAGTAATAAAAAAGAAACGTCTACACCCTCTATCTCCGAAACTAAGCATTTTTGAACATACATTTATACTTAACTTTTTTACTTATTTTTATCCGTTTTTTTAATTTAAGTTTCCATAATCGGACATACAGTTTTCCATACAGTTTGGACCACTGTTAGTTTATATATTTTTTGTTTACTATTGTATACGTTGAGTCAAAACAAATCAATGTATCATCAATCAATATCAATCATGATGTAATCAACAAAGCCACGTTTTTATAAATAATTTCAGATTTAATTAAATTAATACAAATATATTTAAATTAAATATTTATAATAACTTTTAGTGTTTTGTCAAAAAGTTTATGTGTTAATTTAAAAGTTTTAAAAAAATAAATTAATTAATAATTCCCGGAAGAGCGCTCTGTCACGCACTCAAAATCCTGACCGACTATTTTAATTTCGCAAAATAAATTTATTAAGTGTCTGTATATAAACAGGAAGGCATGTTAGAATAAACAATGGTTGTATACCTCTATTAACGTGAAACGGGATCCTAACATCCTTCCACCACTGCTAAAAGCTTAATTTTCGTAAATTTATTTGCCTACACTATGATGAAGAAGGAAGTAGGTCATATTTTCAAAAAGAAACTATTACTGGAAATAAAATGATAACTTACATTTGTAAATTAGAGTAGAGTATGCTTACAAATGAACATAATCAGTTAAATTAATGTTGGCTTCTTGTTTATAAATATTTTAACGTTTGTTAAGTATAGTCATTCAAAAATTATGATCGCAAGAAGAACAAAAAAATCTAATATAAAAAATACTGGTTTATACAGGGTGAGTCTTAAATAAGTGCAAATATTTTTAGGGGTATAACTCTGTTTTTTTTCTCAGGTAAGATTTCGACAGACGATGATGGAAGAAAAGCAGATGAGGTCCCATACCAATCTATTTATTTTACTAAAAAAAGTTTCTAATATTTTTTAAGTTAACTATGGATGGGTTTTAATATAAATCCGCCATGCGTCGCCTCTTGTTTTTAACCAGTTTTATTGGTTTATTTCAAAAATGGCAGATCATATTTCAATTTGATTGGTTTGACGAAACGATGTACGACAAACGGACGCCGATGCGTATGAACTCGCCTTTAGATTTTTGAGGCTTGTCAAAGTCTTGCCAAATTATAGGTTATAATTCTGTGTCAACTTATGTCAAATACCCTGCGTTTTGGAAGATGTTGCATTTTGATTTGTGTTATTACGTGTGTTTTGTGTCTTTTAATGTCGAGTGGAGGAAAATTCGAGGGAAAATTAAGTGTAGACCCAGAGCATAGTTTGTAGTTAATACTCGCTGCCCAGGCAGAAAGTCTTATACACCAATAAAGTTACCATCAATAAAGTTTGTATACCACCTCGTCGTAGATAAGTGCTCTCTCATACGGCACAAAGATCGTACTAAACTTATACTAAAAACTGGAGTAGCTGTAAAATATCGACATCACACGATAGGTAAATAATGGATTATAGTACTGCAGAAAAATAATGTCAAAAGGTACTGGTTTAAAAAAATTAAGATTAAAGTTAATTAATCAACCTTTAAGGTGTAAATTTGGGTAAATGTTATTATTAATAAAATAGTTTGTTTTATTTATTCCTGTGGAATATACCTATTTGTATTTGTACATAAGTTATATTGATAAATATAATAATAAATGCGGGAAGTTTCTTGAAGCTTGAAAGTAAGAAATGTGTTCTTTTTTATATTTTTTTTTTGGTATGAGGTGTTTTGTTCTTGTTTGTTTTGTAGTAACACATACTGTTTTTTTAAATAAAAGAACTCGATTACATTTTTTCAGTTTTATACAGTTTTTTTTCACAATATTTTGGAGTAATATCACTTGTCAGTCAAATTTTAAATATATTAATTTCCTGCTATGGGTTCCAGTTGTACCAACTTATTTCTTTGTAAAATAAGATAAACTACTTTGAAATTAAAATGACTGACACATCTATCACTGTCAAGGATCTTGTCGTTGGACAGACTATAGTATATTTTGACCCGAAAAACGAGGTTTACATGAGGCTTTTTTCGTAAAAAAATTTGGATTTTTTTTCAGATATTAGTTAAAAAACATATTTTCTTAATAATATGGCAATATAGTAAAATTAGATTTACAAGAAAGAAAACCCAGAAAAGATCCAGTGACTTTCAAAATTTAAGCAAAACATTTTTTTTTAAATTTTCAAAGTAATATAACTCGGTTATTTTGGACTTATTTGAAAAACGCTAAAGAGAAAATGTGTTTCTTTTATCGAGATTTTTTTGCCAGCCCTGAAAATATTTGCACTTATTTAAGACTCACTTTGTAGAACCATCAAAAAACTATAAAAAATTAAGAAAACATTACTATTACATAACTTGATGGTGTCTGATTCACATATTATATTTAAATACTATCCATGTATTCATTCATGGTTAGGTTTGGCGTTTGTGGCGTTTCTGTTGGACGTCTTAATTGAAACATTTAAATTTGATCTGAAATTTTGTGGATTTTATTGTCTTTACTGAGGAAATTGTTTCAGAATTTAAATTACCAGTGCGATTTATCGAAAAATACTGTAATATACTGGTTGTGTAACGTGCGGTAGATCTTGGGCTAAAATCTAGGAAAATAATAGGAGCAACTTTTCACTTGTAAGTGACTATATAATATACATACACGTGTAGTAAACCGATCATTTATGAAATTCACTTAGAATTAACTAATTATACATTTTTTCTTGCATTTTCACTGTTCAATTCACTGTTCACAATTCAATTTACTATTTGTCAAAAATAATTTTGATACGCCAATTTGACTTACGTGCTTCACTAGCGTATCTGATGTTTGTGTTATTAAATAATTATTATATCTTATCTATTTTTTTTAAATATATACTTTTATAATAATTTTAATAACTATAAACATTTATTGACAACGTAAAATAAAACAACAAATTATTGAGGCTGCATTTTTATGTTTGTTAAGGTTTCAAGAAAATTAGAACGACACTGATAAACTGAAATTTAAGCCGGCTATTTTAGGTCCCCATCGCGCTTGACAAAATTTTTTAGGTATTCTTAATCTTTTTATTCAAAGAGGCTTAAATCGAATTCTCACGACTCGTGTACTTGACAAATATTTGTAATTGGTATATAGGGTATACACGGTGCGTCGGGTATCTATACAGAATTTCTAAGTTATTTATTATAGGAGCTAAGCCGCACTCCCGCCAGACCCTGTAGGCCCCAATAAAACATACTTGCCAAATAGATACAGAAGCTAAATATTATTTTTGATCGTTCTAGAACCAATTACGATGCTTTTGGGTGGTCCCGAAATGTACATCAACCAAGGCAGCACTATGAACCTCACCTGCGTGGTAAGGCACAGTCCTGAACCTCCACCCTCTATTTATTGGACTCATGACCAACAAGTAAGTGTGTTTTTAGTATTTTTCCTTAAATTTATTTAATTTAAAAATATTTGAAAATAAGCAATTACCAGTAAAAGTTTTTTTTCTAATTTAAAGATTAAAATTTATTTGACCCGAACAGTTAAAGATGACGGAATAAATGAACAACTAGAAAGTAAATGAATAGCCGCTAGAACGCAAGAAGAATTCTGAAAACTGAAATATATACCGGGTGTTTTTTAAAGGTGGCTCAACCCTATAACTTTTTTATTTTTTCAGATAAAAAAAACATGTCTACTTTAAAAGCACTAATTTTTAATCAAGGAGCCTCGGAAAATATATTTGATAGTCTAATGTTTTTCGTAACATATCCTGGCCGATTAAAAGCTGCAACATAACCTAGTTTTTTTTTAAACGAAACGAGGATCATTAGCATATTTGGAAAAAGCATTTTAGAACGAATAATATGGTACCACGCACTTGGTATTTCGAGTCAAATTATCGTTATGAACGGAGCCAATGCACTATAGATTGAAATTTAAATACCATTTTTTTAAACGAAAATGTCAAAAGTTGGTATTTGATATGTCATTTTATTCAGAATGTCATTTTCTATAAAATAAAGTAAAAAAATACATATACATATACCCATTTAAAAATCAAAAGTAGTAGACAATTCCGCTGAAACAGGAAGTGACCGTAAATAATTAAATACAATACAAGTCAATCCTAATTGATATCATATACTAAATCACCACAATACACCAAAACGCTTTTACTTTTTCACTGGTTGTGCGTTTTGCTATAACCATGTTAACATCATCAGCAGATGATTAAACACTTTTTAAAAACTGTTTTAAGTGAATTTTCCCCCTCTGTGAAATAAATAAGGAAAAACTTTAGCACAGAATATTACAACAGAAAAACAAATTATAACATTAGTTAAATAATGAAGAAACATCTCTTTATCTTTAATAACACTCTTTGTCACAATCACCAAAATTACAAACTAAAATAACTTAGTGCTCGGTCTCAAAGCTATTACTTAACACCTATCATGTCCGTTCGTTATCTGATTTCTCTCTTGTATAGGGTGGCCAACTAAGAATGGACGCCGGCTGTATCTGAGAAACTACTTATCGTATAAATTTGGGAAAAACATTCTAATAAGTAAATCGACCAAGAAAAATCGCTGGAAATTATTATCAAGTTCGAAAAATGTCCGCTGTTTCTCTGATAGCCAATCAGAAAACAGGGTTTTTCTCAAAAATATGCAGGCGAACAGGTATTTTAAATATTGCTATAGTAATAATCGAAAGATTTATATTTTTTTTTATATACAGTATTTTGCTCTGTCTCATAGAATAAAGTGGTGGGGGAAGTTTAAACTTGCTTTTATTAAAATAAGGATAACTCTGGTTTAGGTTACCCGATTTAAACAAACTAGGGCTCGTTTCAAAGCGCTTTTCTTCATTAATGATCTCCAGTATAAATTATGTTTCCATAATTTTTTTCGTGGTAGCTAGAGGGCGCTGTTTGACATCATATAATATTGCGCATTTGCATAAAAAATTTAAATAGGAGGCTATATTTCACTTTGCACAGTTAAATAGAGCTCAAAATTTCCAAAATATCAGCGCAAATCGCAAATTTGTTTCTTCTCTCTAACCGGAGATATTAAGAAAACAAATCATGTTAGGCTGCCGCTTAGGATTATATGGTCTAAAAATTATAGCAAACAAAAAGTACGTAGTTTGCCAATAATATAAAAATCCATAATCATTTATGTATACAGTCTTTTAAAACTAATTTTTTTGGATTTAAACAAATATGTTTCCGCGGGTCAATATTTCCACCAATTTGTTCATTTTTGAAAATCAATAATTTAAATATATTTGTCTCTAATTCTAGAATTTGTAAAAATTATAAAATATCGCTTGTTATTGAAAATCTTTAATAAACAATCCTAAAAAATCATGTGAACAAGTTAAACGTGCTTGTAAAGTTAATCTAAGCACGCTATGTAAATATAATCAAACTCACTAACCCATAGTATTGCGTGTTGTCACATAAACGTTTGTTCCAGTAGATGAAATAGAAAATTATCGTTCAATCTGGTGATTCATGTAATATTCACGTAATTTAAAATAGTACGAGAATGTTAATTCTATACGCGTCACACAGAGGGTGCGTTACAGTATATTTTGTTTGTAACATTTGGACTGTTTAATGATGCTCTTTCATTAATTTATAACTCTAATTGTTTAGCAGGAAATTATTTTTAATTAATCGAAATAAATTAAAATGTAATTTTGTACACTGTAAAAAATACTAAATAAAGTTTAGGATATCATTACTATAAATCCGGTGAGTTTTTAGGAGGCCTGTTATTATGATTCTAAATAATTTTTAAGCTGTTAACGTCGAAATTAAATGTGGAAGTTACTTCGAAAATTTTGGGTGTTTGGTATCTACATTAAATTATACTAGCAGAAAAAATAAATAAAGGTGTGAATAAAAATACGATGTTTTCTTTCGGAAACGGTAAGTAGCTAAACGACCAGTGAAGCCTCTACGGATAGAGCTAGTGGAGCTCCATATTCGCCCCATTTAAACTGTATTTCGAAAATGCACAGTTTCCGAGATATCTAGTTAGAAATATTTCGATTGTCGATTTTCTGGATATACCCCTTGAAAATAATTGAATTTTGTATTTATTAACTTTTTCCATTTTTCTCACCTGGTACGGTTAAAAGACGTTAATGTAAGAATTATAAATGCAATTTGACCCCGTTTTTAAGTTATGTTGTATTTAAAAAAAAACGAAAATTAAAAAATCGCTTTTATTTTTTTCTTACCCTGTATGTACTTACGCGCCTATAGTAAGCCTGTTATTTTTGTCGGTCTTTTTGGAGACCCAGTTCGAGACGCGACCCTAGATCATACCTATATACTTACGTGGATAAGTAAATCACTATGGAAACTGTCGCAAACATATCAACGACTTATATTTATCTTCTTTTTTTGTTGTACACGCCGTGCTTCTACTCTATCTATCCTTCTCGAGAACCTATCGTCAACGCGCTAAAATTGAACATTAATTTTAAAAATTTAATTTGTAAAATGCATATAATTGAACAATAAATTAAATGTTTACTGGCACAATAAAAATTAATTATAAAAAAAAATACATTTAGCCACTCCGAACGAATATCAATATTCTTAGGAAATCTAACAAGAAAGTATGCATGTGGTTTAATATAAATAAAAGAACAACTGAATACTTTACTTGCCTATGAAAAGATAATTTGGGGACTTTAGAACTACTAAAAATTCCACACACCAAACTCTTTCCAGTCATTTTTACGAGTATTATATTTAGAAAGTCAAAAAAAAAAAAAAAATAGAAATACAGGGTGTCCCAGTATTTCTATTTATTTTTTAACTGGAAGTATTTTAACTGGTAGTATAGTTCAACCCCAGAAACACGCCTATGAAGTTTTTTTCGCGAAAAAAAAAATTGAAAATTCGGAATTTTTTGAAAAATTTTTTGGGAATTTTTTTAGTTTTTATTTAAAAAACATAATTTCTTGATAATATAGCAACATAGGTAGTAGATTAAATTGCAAGAAAGAAAATCCAGAAAAGATCCAGTGGTTGTCATGATTTTTTGAAAAAATTATTTTTTTTTAATTTTCAAAGTAAAATAACTTCGTTATTTTAGAGACTTATTTAAAAAACGATAAAGAGAGAAAATATGTTTCTTTTATCGAGATCTACCGACCCTTAAAATACTTGCACTTATTTTTGACACCCTGTATAATTGCACAAACTTAAAATTAACTTCTCATTGAAGACACTGCATCCTTGGCTATATAAAAGCGGTGGATAAAAGAGTAATAAATACAATTTTTAAAATAAAAAATGCAAGAAACAGGCGTTGTTAACACACAATGGAAATAAGATGATTATGACAATATAATGACAATGAAGAGTTGGTTTCCATAACAATGTATAATTTGTACTTTATAAACCGTATAAATTTGTGATTATTTTGGAAATACGTGCAACTTCTAATGCGCATGCGCAATGTAAGGTCCTCGAGATAGACAAACCTATTGAACGTTTCATAAGAGCAATAAAAAATGTTGGAGACATATTTTTTAATGCTAAACTTATGGCGTTGATTTAGCCCCGTAAGTATATATTCTAGGAACGCGACTATAAATAGGGGCATAAAAAAATTAACTAATCAATCTGCATCGATCCACGTACAAAAATCTTTTAAATCGGAATAAGTAAAAAAAGCTCGATTTTGGCAGGGAAATTTTTTGGAAATGTTATTTTTTTAACTTTTTTTTGAATATCTACGAAACCCTTCAATTCATTTTGGGGTGTTTGGTATCTACATTAAATTATACTAGCAGAAAAAATAAATAAAGGTGTGAATAAAAATACGATGTTTTCTTTCGGAAACGGTAAGTAGCTAAACGACCAGTGAAGCCTCTACGGATAGAGCTAGTGGAGCTCCATATTCGCCCCATTTAAACTGTATTTCGAAAATGCACAGTTTCCGAGATATCTAGTTAGAAATATTTCGATTGTCGATTGTCGATTTTCTGGATATACCCCTTGAATAATTGAATTTTGTATTTATTAACTTTTTCCATTTTTCTCACCTGGTACGGTTAGTTAATTCAAAAAAATTAACTAATCAATCTGCATCGATTCACGTACAAAAATCTTTTAAATGGGAATAAGTAAAAAAAGCTCGATTTTGGCAGGAAAATTTTTTGGAAATGTTATTTTTTTAACTTTTTTTTGAATATCTACGAAACCCTTCAATTCTAAGAAACCATTTATGCACTGTCGGATAGACGACTGATGACGTCTTCCAATGGCTTATTTTTCATTTCTAGATTTTTATAAGGACTCGTAAAAAACGATTTATAGTTGAAATTTTGCCAATATCGAAAAACGCAAATATGTCGGAAACGGTAAGTAGCTAAACGACCAGTGAA